TGGAGTGAACCTTGATGTTTGGTGTGACAGATACACTAGCCAACTGACTGAAAAGCAAAATACAGAGGATATTGAAATGGCTAACACAATGTAAGAAGATGCCTTGAACTTCAGAACACTTGGATATAGCTATAAATATATGGGGCAATAGGCTGAACAATTACGTAATAAAGCAAAGTCCTGGATACATATACTTTCTTTCCTCCTTGTGCAGAGTGTGGCTGTAGGAAGACAACAGGCAGCTTGACTGACTGGTTCAGGTGAAATTCTGAGACCACCTTAGGAACCTTAACGCACCTTAGGAATGAAACTCGGGTGAGGTTTCAACAGTCTTGTTCCTATGGAATGTTGTCAATCATAGGCACCTGAAGCACACTCACTCTTCAGGCTGCTGTAATAACCACTAGGAACACTGTATTCGGAGGGAGGTGGTACAGGGGGCAGTTTGACAGAGGTTTGAATGGAAGCTCCAAAGGTCTCAGAAGAAATAGATTGAGGTCCCAGGCAGAGACCTCTGACTAGTGGGTGCATAACAGCTCTTTAAGAAACTTTAATACTATAAGGTGAGAGAAGACCAAACATAATTGTACAGGTGGATGGCAAGTTGAAATCACCGTGAAGTGGACCTTAATAGAGCTGAATAAGAGGCCAGCCTGTTTTAAATGCAATATGTAGACAAGGATCTGTAGCAACGAGGCCTGGACCAGTCCAGACCATGATGGGCTGTCCGTATCAAGAACTTCTCCATTCAGATGAATATGTTAGTCTGATACAGAGCAGAAAAGCATCTATCAGAATTTTCTGGACCTGCAGGAAGCAATCTCCATCTGTGGCACTCAACCAGCCAACAACCATGCCATCAGGTTCACTGACTTCAAGTCTGGATGGAGTATCTGGCTGGCCATGGTGTTGTGAGATCAGGTCTGGACACTGTAGGGAGAAGTAGTAGTTCCATTGGCCAAAAGGTGCCTTGGCCAGTATGGAGCTACGAGAACGATCAGAGACTTGTCACATGATTTTGGAAATCATCTTGGGGAATCAGTGGAAAAAGGCATACGAGAGGCCTTGAGACCACTGCAAGGAAGGTGTCCAGTAATGAGCCCAGACTTATATCACCTCTGGAACAAGAGTTCAAGCCCTTGGCATTGACACTTGAGGCAAACAGGTCTATTACTGGGGTCCCCCAAAGTAGGAATATCAGCTATATGATGGATTTCCGCAATGACCATTCCTGAGAGGTAACTGACTACTTAGGAAATCCACCAGGTTTTTGCTGACATCCAAGAGGTGAAGAGCCATCAGAGGTCATCCTGTGTTGGTGACACCATGTCCAGAGCCTGATGGCTCCCAGGCAGAGGAGAGAGAAATAAGCAAGAAGGTGCACACTTATGTAGATGACATCTCTGCGATGCACATAAGACTCCGCACTATAGAGTTTTGAAGAACAGGTAGGATTATTATGCAGGGTGGCCTGACAGCTCTGAGCTCCACAACATTGATGGGGAGCCCTATGTCCTCTTGCATTTGTAGATAGTCCAAGTGGGGTCCCCAACCTGAACCTGATCCACCCATAATTAAAATTCTTTATCAGGGATGGAGTAGAGAATGGTACCCCTCCACACACATTTCCAGAATTCTTCCAGCAGCTAAATTGTGTGGCAACACGTGGTGGGATCACCACCTTCTTGTTCACCTGCTTCATTGCTGGGGAACAGATTGAACTGAGTCAGAGTTGGAGTGGTTGTAGGTGAAGTCTGGCAAGTGGTGTCACATATACACACACCAACATATGGACAAGCAACTCCAGAAACATCCATACAGTCTTAGTCTGGTTTGATTCTATCCTGCAAACCAATGACTGCCATAACAAGAACCTGTTTTCAGGGAGGTATGCTCTTGCCAAACCAGATTTGATCAGGACTCCCATAAACTCTATTGCTGTAATGGGATTAGAGTATTTTTTGTAGTTCACTAATAGACCCAGCTGAAAGAACGGGAAGAAGGCAAATTTCAGGTGTACCGCAGCCTCCTGTTGGGAACTGCCCTTAATCAGACAATCATTGGTGCAATGGTAAACATGAATGCCTTTTTCTTCTGTGGTGTGTTGCTACCACTGCTAGGCATTTTGTGAAGACTCACTGTGCTGTGGAGAGTTCATATGGCAGTGCCTTGTATTGGTAATGGTTGGGTCCCACTGTGAATCTTAAGTACTCCTTGTAGGTCAGATAGAAGGATATAGGGAAGTACGCATCTTGCAAGTAGTGAGACACAAATTAATCTTCAGCCTGGAAAGATGGAATGACAGAGGTTAAGTATTACCATCCTGAATCTGAAGCAAAATATGTATTTGTTCAGTCTCCTCAGGTCTAGGATATGACCAAGACCCCCTTTCTTCTTCTGGAGAAAGTAGTAAGGAGTAGAAGGCTCTTCCTCGATTCTTCATTCCCACAGTATCTCTTCTACAGCTCTCAGATAAAGCAATGAGGTCACTTCCATTTGTTTTACAGGCTCTTGTGAGACGAGTCCCTGAAAAGGGATGGGAAAGAAGGGCAGGTAGGTGGAATGGAAGTCTAAAGGGTAGCCATGGATAATGATATCTAATGCTCCTTTGTTGGTTGTGAAAGCAACCCAGGCCTGATGGAATGAAGCAAGGTGATTCCTGAAGAATGGGCTTTAGATGGGCTCTGCTGTGGCACCTGATACTCTATCAAATCTGCTGCCTCTGAGAAGGAGCTGGGTTGGCCAAGGAGGCAGAAGAGGACGTATCCTGGAGTACCTAGCGGTCTTCTGCTGCTGATAGTCTGGCTCTAGGGCTGGGAATAAGGTATCCTCTGCTCTAGCTGGGGTTGATAGAAGACGTTCAGCAGGGAAATAGCACGTAAATCCCAAAGGACCTTAACATGGCCCTTGAATCCTTGAGGGATTGGAGCACTTCATTTGTACTCTGGCTGAAGAGCTCCATTCCCTGAAAAATCAAGTCCTTTATTGTGGCCTCTACTTCATGTGATATGCCAGATGCCTGCAGCCACAAGGCTTGTCATGGCAATGGCCATCAACTTTGCAGCCGGATTACAGCACCCCATGCCACCTGCAGTGATGTTTTCATGACAAAGCTGCCCCCTTCCCTGATGATGTTTTTCATTTCATCCCTGCCATCCTGCTGAACTTTTGCAAGTGGGTTACTCTTTCTCACAAGAAGTAACTGTACTTGGTAGTTCACCACCCAAAGCTACAAAGAGGCTTTTGAACACACAAGTCTAACTTCTTTGGGTCCCTTGTCCTTAGGAGTGCCCTTATTGGACTCTGACTTCTCTTGTGCTACAGAGACCATGCAGAACTCTGGGCTTGGGTGGGAATACAAGTTTTCAAAAGCTTTCAGCAGCACCCAATGCCTTTTCTCTAAGTATTTGGAGGAGGAAGGAAATAGTGGCTGGGGTTTGCAGTAGCCCTTCGGTTTGGTTCTAAGATCCCTTCATTAATCGGGAGAGTGATTCTGACTGGTGACATTGTACTCAGAATATCAAATGAGACTTATCCTGTATAAAAGGAGTCTCAATGTTCAGGGTCTCCGCAATTCAGGACATGATTTCCTGGAAGGCTTTAAAGCAGAGGTCCCCAAACTGTGGGGCGCACTCCCCTAGAGGGGCATGGAGGAACATTCTGGGGGGTGCCGCTGGGGCCTGGGCCAATCCCCCCAGGGGGGCAGGAAGGGAGCGCCACCCAGCCCTGTGCTGGGGGGCCCCAACCTTGGCCCCACCCCCAGCCATGGCCCCAGTCTTGGCCCCCCTTGCCCCGGTCCAGGTCTCCCCCTCCTGGGGCTGCGGCCCTGCTCCCGGCCCCAGCTCCGGGGAGTGGGGAGGTGAGAACAGGGGCAAGGGGGGGGGCATAAAGTTTGGAGACCACTATTTTAAAGTCATCTCTTGACAGGGTGGGTGCTGGTGATGCTGCTTTGCCGAGTGATAAGGAGTATTTCTTAGGGAAGATGGGGGGGGGGGGGGGGGAGATCATTGTCCCTCTGTTATCTCCTGTTCTAGTGTGGCTAGTCTAGCCAACAAAGGGACCAGGAAGTGTGATTGTTTCTTTTTTCTGGACATGTGGGAAGGTGATCTGCTCCTTGACACATGGAAGTACTGTCCCCAGTAAGGCCAGTATGGACAAGTTGGTATATTGTATGGGTATTGGCCAGGTTGTGGCTGGCTGCCCTAGTGCCATTCATTGCTCCATGCTCATTGGGTTGACACTCTGAAGTGGGGCTCCCTGACAACCTCACTGGGTTCTTTATTCAATGGCAAGGGAAAGGGTTCCCCACTTGACGCCAGAGAGGAGGGAAGGAGGAATACATCTTTCTCAAGTGCAGCATCAAGGGATTGTACAGAATTCATAACAGGTCCATGCTGGCTGCTTCTGTGATACTGGGGGTGATATGGATGCCTCTTAGACATGGGCATCAGTATCAAATTCAATGCCTGGCTTCTTGTTATGCCTGATTTCTTAGCTGCTTTGTCCTTATAGTGCTGCCCAGTCTCTCTCTCTCTCTCTCTCTCTCTCTCTCTCTCTGGGAGTTCCCCTTGGCCTCAAAGGTACATTTATACTCACAATGGCTACAAGAATCAGTATCCCATTTACAGGGAGGCACAAGTGCCAGCTTTAGTGCTGGAGTTGGGGCAATCAGGAGGGGAGCTGGCATGGTCAGAGCCAGAACTACCAGCACCAAAGCTGTGTCTAGGCCCTGGAGACTTTGCAGATATTGAAATGGTCAGTATAATCAGTGCTGACTCTGGCAATGTCATCTTTGTGTTCTTTCCACTGCCCAATCCTGGAGTGTGAAGAGTGCTCAAAGAAGCGCTGATTGATGCTAGCTTACCTGGCCTCACTCTGGTTGTAACCAATGACTGAGTCTGAAGTGACCCACATGGACTGCTCAAGTAGATGTAAATTGAACTGCGTGTCCCTGAACTTGTGGGTCCTAGCAGTGAAGGACCTGCACACAGACAACTTACCTGGGAATGTGGCTCTCTCTTAGGCAGAAGAGGCTTCTGCTGTGTCCATCCCTGAGGGAGGTGATCAGTCCATTGCAGGACAAGCATGGTTTGAACCCTGAGGGTTTGGACTTCGTCAGAAGGTGGGACAGTTGACGCAAAGTGCTTCACCCCACTATACCAGAAGGGGTGGAGGGCGCAGAGTGGGAATGTCAACTGATTTTTTTCTTCCTTCTTTGGAACTTCCCTTAGAGAAAGAGTGTGAAGACAGAAATCACCAAACGTGAAACAACCAATCTAAGATCTTTGATGCTTTCGCTGGGCCTCATCTTGTTGCAACAGGAGGTAAGAGAGAACTAAGGAACGGTCACAGACGTTCCACCCTTTAAGCCCTCACATGGGAGGCACAGGGCACATCAACAACCCCAAAGGACACTGCAATTCAAAAAAAATCTGATATCTGATAAGTTTTGTTTTAAATTTCCTAATTACCATAGTCTACTTTAGTAATAAGTGCCATTTGAGTCAACCTGAAAAACCAAATTGGATGATAATTTAGCAGAAGTGAAGGTACCACATGGCATTACAGGCACACAAAGTGTAAGAAAAAAATTATATTTACGCACATGCATGCAGGAAAAGTGATTTCTATACACTAAAATCCAGACTTCAATTGTATTTTTACAGTGTATTTTATCTACTCCATCCATATCTTTAAATCCCAAGATTTCTGATAACATATGAACATGTAGCTAGAAGATGAATCACAGCCAATTATAAAATACAGAGTTTCTATACAAACACACAGTATTTCAGTATTTCAGAATCTTCTCAGAGCTATCTCCCCCCTTATGTCCTCTGGCCTGCAATAAAGCTCAACTGTTGTGAATATGTTTTGAAATAAAGAATGAGACACTGCGGACTGCTCCTGGCCTGGAAGAGACTGCACTCCCTTCTCTCTTCTACATGCTGGTTTGAAGAACTATAGCAGCTGAAGCAATGAATGATGACGGGTAGCCGGCAACAGCTGAGATACCAATGCCCCAGTCTTCAATTTCACCTGCATCAGCAAAGACAGAGCCTAGAAGGGACAGTATGACTAGGGCCTGATATGTTCAGCTGCTTTATTACTGCTGTCACTATTTTTTTGTATTTAAAAAAAAAAAAAAAACTTTTCCCCTCTCCCTCCACAAAATATGCAGATCCTTTGAATATACTGTATTTATTTTGAAATATTGGGCTAACCCTCTTCAATTATCTACAGTTAAAATGCAGGCATTGCCATTCAGCATAGACGCATAACAAAATTTAACTCCAGCTACATAACTTAGTGCAAGAAACTGTTCTTATCCATCCCATCCCTTCCCTTCATAGTGTTACGTAGCTCTGCCCACTCTCCCCATTGCCTTAGAAGTTTTGTATTACTGGACTAAGCTAACACAATTTAGATGCATCATACAAAACCTACTACTGGGAACAGCTCTAATACAGAATGGAGCTAAATCAGGTTCCTCTGCACGTTGCTCATCCATGCCAGAATGGCTTTGGTAAAATATTAATTGTTGCAGTAGGTGTTCTAGATGAAGCTTCCCAGAGCTTCCTAACTAGCATGTCCTACTTCAAGGATATCTTTCTTTACATACATACACTTTAGGAAGGATGAAGTTTTTTTTTTTGTTTGTTTGTTTTTACTGCAATCAGCTATGGCCAAGTACACCATAAGAGTACTTGCACACATTCAGTCAGTGTAGCATTCCAAAATTTTGTTCATGCTTTTATTGTGAAGAACCTTTCATGTCAAATTAATTGAGACAAGTGCTATGATTTGGCTATATTAATCGGAAAAAATAAATCTAAACCTAATCGTAAATACTTCGATAACAACCATGCTCCTCAGGATTAAAGTGTGCCTGGGGCTCTTGGAATACATCTTGCAGTGATGTTCCAAAAGAACAGGATGTGCAAAATTTCTGAGGACCTAAAGAAGAGGGCCAATATTTTCAGTTCTATTTTGGTAGGTGGAAGAAGATGAAAAGAGACCATGAGAACCCCTGAAAGAAGACTTCTAAGAACTGCTGTTAAACAAGGACCCAAAGAACTATTCAATCTGTACTTGTCTTTAAGAGATCCCAATAGAAAGCAACTGTCTGCGTAAGGTTACTTAGAACCAGGAATGCTTACTTATGGGCTCTCTCCTTGAAAGAAGAGGGAGAAAAACCTACTGGCCTTGCAACCTTCTAGAAAAGTTGAGGGGCTCTAACACAGCTGAAGAATTTGATGAAGACAGGATCCTTTCTGAAGGTAGAAGAAACTTAATGGAGCTTACTATTGACTTATAAATGCAGCAATTGTATCCTTCAACTCATTACGAACCAATGCCATGAAAAACGCAGGCAGAAAACGCAATGGCTTACCATGGAACTGGGAGGGATATAGGCGGTTGAGCTACAAAATAACATGGAGCACCAAAAACTGACAACTCTGACTTGCAAATAGTTCAGTGGGAAAATCCCCCACCCAATCTCAATGGAAAAGTAGGGGCAGAGAAAGAGAAAGTTATGTTGATCAGACTGGCAGGGGAATGAAGAGCCCAAAGGAGAGGGGGAGAGCACATGCCTGAAAATGTCAGGGCTGGGCTCTAACTCCTCCTTGGGCACTCCACTTCCCATTGGTAAAGGTGTGGAGGGAACAGGAGAGTTGGTTGGCCAGCGTGCCTCCCTCTCCCACATCAATCTAAACCCTTCCCAGGCTTTTATGGTTCTTTGATTGCTCACAATTTGCTGCCAGTTTCCACTGCAGATATAGGCTAAAAAGGCCAGCTCCCAGCAGTAAATGAGACCCAGGATTTCACTGGTCTTTGAGACTGTAGCTAAAAGGGAGATAGTCTTCAGATAGAGGTCCCTTTTTTGGAAACCTTTACCTCCCCTCTTGCAAGAGCAGAGGATTCATTAGAGCTGAGTTCAAGGGGCAGACTAAGGAGAGTCTACCATGAGTTGTATGGTGGAAGCCTTGTAACCTTGACTACACCTAGTTAAATGCCTGGTATGAGACACACGAGGCCAGGCGGGGAAAGGGGAGTTGGAGGAGGGCATATAGCACTCCTCCCAAGTGTTAATAAAGTTGCAGTTTAATGCTTAAATCCATCCCTGTGTCTGTCTTCATTAATCTGCATGTTGTGATCAAATACAAGTAGAACCCTGCTACTGTACGCCAAATGGTGTGATCACAGAAGAGTGCTGATATAATCATCAGGTTTTTAAACCTGTTACCGATTGACAAAACTTTTTCCACAGCACTAGTGATTTAAAAACCACAGATAAAATATTGATGTCACTTCTGACCAGGGGCGCCGGAACAGGAGAAGGCCAGGGTCCTCCCACTTTTTACTGGCTGTAAGGGCATGCAACAGGGAGAAGGGGTGGAGAGAAGTGAGCAGGGGGTAGTCTCGGGGGGAAGAGGCAGTGTGGGAGCAGAGTCTCAGGGCAAGGGGCAGCACAGGGGACCACAGTTCAGGCACCTATGGCCCCCCCACTCACTCTTAGAGCACTTCTGCCACTCCTGATTCTCACTATTAGTCAGTAAACTGGTTAACACTTGTAAATTGGTCAGTACTGTATTCACAGTGGAGTTTTGGTAAATTTGAGATATATAAACCTTTAATCTTATTACACTTCTTTGAAAGCAGAAAATGTACACAACATCTCTCTGCACAGTATCAAATAAAATTGTGATTAGTTAGAACTGCAGGAGACATGTAATTGGCACTTACAAAAAATTTAAAGTGTAAAAGAAAAAGAAACTGGCAACTATGGCTGTCAATCTCAGTTAACTCAAGCAATTAACTCAAAACAATTAATTGCAGTTTTAATCACACTGTTAATAATAGAACAACAATTTAAATGTATTATAAATATTTTGGGTGTATTTGAAAATGTAGAAAAACACAGAATACAAAGCATACAGTGCTAATTTTATATTATTTTTATTACAAATATTTGCACTGTAAAAAAGATAAACAAAAGAAATAGGATTTTTCAATATGCCTCATACAAGTACTGTAGTGCAATCTCTATTGTGAAAGTGCAATTTACAAATGTAGATTTTGCACTCAAAAACAAAACAATGTAAAACTTTAGAGCTTACAAGTCCAATGTTTAGCACAGGGATCAGCAACCTTTGGCACGCAGCCCGTCAGGGTAAGCCCCTGGCTGGCCAAGAGGGTTTGTTTACCTGCAGCATCCACAGGTTCGGCCGATCGCAGCTCCCACTGGCCGCAGTTTGCTGTCCCAGGCTAATGGGGGCTGTGGGAAGCGGCACGGGCTGAGGGATGTGCTGGCCACCGCTTCCCGCAGCCCCCATTGGCCTGGCATGGCGAACCGCGGCCAGTGGGAGCTGCGATCGACCAAACCTGCGAACGCTGCAGGTAAACAAACTGGCCCGGCCAGCCAGCGGCTTTCCCTGACAAGCCGCGTGCCAAAGGTTGCCGATCCCTGGTTTAGCATATCTGGCACATAAATGCCTTGCAACGTCAGTTACAATAGTGCCATGTGAACACCAGCACTCACTTTCAGGTGACATAAATAAGAAGCAGGCAGCATTATATCCTGTAAATGTAAACAAACTTGTTGTCTTAGCGATTGGCTGAACAAGAATTAGGACTGAGTGGGCTTGTAGGCACTAAAGTTTTACATTTTTATTTTTGAGAACAGTTAAGTAAAAAAAAATTCTACATTTGTAAACTGCACTTTCAGGATTAAGAGATTGCACTATAGTACTTGTACGAGGTGAATTGAAAAATACTATTTCTTTTGTTTATCTTTTTTACAGTGCAAATATTTGTAATAAAAATAATAAAGGGAGCACTGTACACTTTTATTCTGTGTTGTACTTGAAATCAATATATTTGAAAATGTAGAAACATCCAAAAATATTTAAATAAATGGTATTCTATTTTTTAACAGGGCGACAAAAACTGATATTTTTAAATCTCACAATTAATTTTTTAAATAATTTGACAACTCTATTGGCAACACAAGTCTAGCCACTCATCGCAACTGTATCAAGAGTCTCATGATATTTGTAGCTTTTCTTAAATATCCAGATGCTAGAATGGTGTTGAGATTCTCAGGTTTCATTTAAAAAAAAAAAAAAAAGTTTTTAGCTCCGATGCCTGGGGGCGGGGGGCATGTAATTTGAGGGCATGTCACACTAGTATGTCA